ACCATCATTCTAACCATCTCTGTCTCCATGAGATCAATTGTTTTTCATATTTAGCTCCTACGTATGAATGAGAACATGTGAGATTTATCTTTCTCTGCTTGGCTTATTTCACTTAACATAATGTTTTCCAGCTCTAGCCATGTTGTTGCAAGTGGCAGGATTTCATTCTTTTTGTGGATATATAATATTCCATGATGTATATGTACCACAGTTTCTTTGTCCATTCATCTGTTGATGGACACTTAGGTTGATTCCAAATCTTGGCTATCGTGAATAGCACTGCAATAAACATGGGTGTGCAGATACGTTTTTGTTTGTTTTTTTGTTTGTTTTGTTTTGTTTTGTTTTTGAGACAGAGTCTCGCTTTGTGAGTGCTAGAGTGAGTGCCGTGGCGTCAGCCTAGCTCACAGCAACCTCAAACTCCTGGGCTCAAGCGATCCTGCTGCCTCAGCATCCTGAGTAGCTGGGACTACAGGCATGCACCACCATGCCCGGCTAATTTTTTCTATATGTATTAGTTGGCCAATTAATTTCTTTCTATTTATAGTAGAGACGGAGTCTCGCTCTTGCTCAGGCTGGTTTCGAACTCCTGACCTTGAGCAATCCACCCACCTCGGCCTCTCAGAGTGCTAGGATTACAGGCGTGAGCCACCGCGCCCGGCCCAAATACGTTTTTGATATAATGAATTCCCCTCCTTTGAATATATACTCAGTAGTGAGATTGCTGGATTATATGGTAATTCTATTACAGGCCTTTTTATCTTTTTTTCTGAATTTGAAAATGAATAAATCTATTTTTAGTTTTTTGAGGAACTTCCATACTGTTCTCCATAGTGGTTGTGCTAATTTATATTCCCACCAACAGCATATGAGGATTCCCCTTTGTCTACATCCTCATTCGTTATTGCCTGTCTTTTTGATAAAAGCCATTTTAACTGGGGTGAGGTGACATCTCATTGTAGTTTTGATTTGCATTTCTCTAATGACTAATGATACTGAACATTTTTTCATATACCTATTGGCCATCTATATGTCTTATTTTGAGAAATGTCTATTCAGATCCTTTGCCCATTTTAAAATCAGATTATTTGATTTTTTTCCTATTGAGATATTGCAGCTCCTTATATATTCTGATTATTAATCCCTTGTCAGATTGGTAGTTTGAAAATATTTTTTCCCATTCTGTGGATTGTCTCTTCACCTGGTTGTTTCCTTTGTTGTACAGAAACTTTTTAGATTGGTGTGATCCCATTTGTCCAATTTTGCTTTTCCATCCTTGCATTTTCAACCTGTTTGTGTCTTTGGATCCAAACTGAGTCTTTTATAGACACCATGTAATTAGATCATGTTTTCTTAAATTCATTTTGCCAATCTCTGCCTTTTGATTAAAGAATTTAATCTCTTTACATTTAAACTAATTGCTTATAAGAAAAGACTTCTGCCATTTTGCTCTTTGTTTTCTGTATGTCTTATACCTTTTTTGTTCCTCCATTATTGCCTTCTTTTGTGTTTAATTGATTTTCTTGTAGTGAACTGTTTTGAATGCCTCTTCATTTCTTTTTCTGTATATTTTTAAGTCATTTTCTTAGTGGTTACCTTGCAGATTATATTTCATATCTTAAATTTAAAACAAACTGTTTGAATTCATACCAGTTTAGCTTCAAGGCATACAAAACCCCAGCTTTTTTACAATTCCCACCTCTTTATGTTTTTATTATCACAAATTGCATCTTCATGCATTACATGTGTATTAACATAGATGTATAGCTATTGTTTTATGTATTTGTCTTTTAAATCATGTAGGGGAAAAAAAGAAGAGTTACAAACCAAAATACAATTATACTTCTTATTTTCCTATAAATAGTTGTTCACAATCTAGTTTGGATTAATACCAACTTAATTTCAGTAGTATGTGGAACTTTCACACCTAGCTCTGTTCTCTCCCCCCCACTTCTGTGCTGTTATTCTCATATAAATTATACCTTTATATGGCTTTATATGGTTTTGTATCCATCAAAACAGATTTTTAGTTATTGCTTTAAATCAGATAGGAGAATAAAGAGTTACAAAGAAAAATGCATTTATACTGTACTATGTTTATCTGTATAATTATAATATCTTTATTGGTATCCTTTATATTTTTATGTGGATTCAAGTTACTCTCTAATATCCTTTGATTTCATCCTGACGGGTATTTCTAGTAAGACAGGTTTAATATCAATACATTTTCTCAGCTTTTATTTATCAAGATTGTCTTAATTTCTTCTGTGTTGGATATAGTATTCTTGGTTAGAAGTTTTGTTTTTTTTTCCCCAGTACTTTGAATATTTCATCCCACTACTATCTGCCCTCCATGGTTTCTGATGAGAAACTGGCTGTTAATCTTGTTGAAAATTCTTTATATCTGATAAGTCACTTTCCTCTTCCTGCTGTTAAGATTCTCTCTGTCTTTGGCTTTTGACAATATGATTATGATATATTTAGTTGTGTATTTCTTTAAGTTTGACCTACATGTAGGTCAGTGAGCTTCTTGAAATTGTAAATTCATGTTTTTGTCAAATATAGGAAGGTTTCAGCCACTATTTCTTCAAATGTTCTTTCTGCCTTTTTATCTCTCTCTTCTCTCTTTGTGGGACTCCCACTATGTACATGTTGATATGCTTAATGGTGTGCCACTGGTCTTTGAGGCTCTGTTCATTTTCAACACTTTTTTTTGGTTTTGTTCTCAGACTGGATAATCTCAATTGATCTTTCGATAAGTTCATGGATTCTTTCTTCTGCCTGCACAAATAGGGTGTTCATACCCTTTATTGAGTTTTTCATTTCAGTTTGGTTCAAGTCCAGAATATCCATTTGGTTCCTTTTTATAATTTCTACCTTTTTATTGGTATTCTCTACTTGGTAAGAAATCATTCTCCTGGTTTTTGTCAGTTCTTTGTCCATGGTTTCCTTTATATTGTTGAGGATTTTTTGTTTGTTTGTTTGAGACAGGGTCTCAAACCAGGCTAGAGTGCAGTGGTATCATCATAGCTCACTGCAACCTCAAACTCCTGGGCTCAAGTGATCCTCCTGCCTCAGCCTCCTGAGTAGCTGGTGGGGCTACCATGCCTGGCTAACTTTTCTTTTCTTTTCTTTTCCTTTCTTTTCTTTTCTTTTCTTTTCTTTTCTTTTCTTTTCTTTTCTTTTCTTTTCTTTTCTTTTCTTTTCTTTTCTTTCTTTGAGATGGGGTCTCACTCTTGCTCAAACTCCTGGCCTCAAGCACTCTCCCACTTCTGCCTCCAAAAATGCTACAATTACAGGCATGATCCACTGCACCCATCTTTACTATAATTCTGAGCATATTTAACACAGTTGATTTAAAGTTTTGTCTAGTGAGTTCAATGTCTGGGCATCCTCAGGGACAGTTGCTATTAATTTCCTTTTTTTTTTTTTCCTGTGAATGAGCCATATTCTCTTGTTTCTTTGCATGCCTTGTCATTTTTTGCTGAAAACTGGACATTTTGACTATTATAATACAGTAACTCAGGAAATCAGATTCTTCTGCTGCCCCTACTTGTTGTGGGTTGTACTTGGTTGTTTAGTGACTTTTCTAAACTAGTTTTTAAAGACTGTTTTATTGAGTGTGGTCATTGGTCTCTGTTCTTTTAGCTTTAGTGGTCAACTGATGATTTGATAGATATTAAACATATAAAGCCAAAAAGATAAAAAGAAAAGAAAATCCCCCCAGTCCTTGCAGATTGGCTGTGTTGGGGCACTTCTTCAATGCTTAGCCAGACCTTCTGCAACTCTACCTTAGCCTTCCCTTTCTGGTGATATGGAGCCAAAAGATGAGCCAGAGGTGAAAGTTGAGGGTCTTGTCAGGTCTTTCCTCATCATGATTCTAGCCTTGGGCACACCTGTGGCCTTCTAGATTCTCTGGTTTACATGAGAGCTTTTCAAAGCCTTTATTTTCCCCCACATATCTCCTTTGCTATCCTCTTCCTTTTCAGGCTTTGTGGCTTTCATTAGTTTTTTATTAGAACTCAGAGTTCCCTAAGTATTTGTTCTGACAGTTTTTCCCTGCTTACTTGTTGGGTTTGTGGAGGGGCAGATTTCTGGGACTCCCTGCTCCTCCATTTTCATTGACGTCGTTCCCAGATACAGACATTTTGGCAGTTATTTTTGTATTGATAGATTGCTGTCTAAAAATAATAAACCATTTTCAGAGCTAACAGCGATGCATTTTCTCACAACTGTGTCAACATTGTTATAGATTTTTAATTTTTGATTATTTAATTATTATTGAATAATATGTCACAGTCACACTGATTTTAATTTATTTCACTGTTGTTGGGTTTGAACCCTTATTGAGTTAGTGTTCATTTTTCATAAGCTTCCGTTTCCTTTGATCATTAGCCTCTTTACCCTTTCATTAGCTATTAGCCTTTCATCTGCATTGCAGCTTATCTGAGCCTGAGCCCGATCCAGTGGGAGACATCTGTGTATGTGCCATGGCCCCTCTTGGCTGGAGATGGGCTGCTCCTCATGCTGGAGGAGGCTTGCTGAGCCAGCCCCAGGGTCTCTTTAAAGCACTCACTCATTCAACAGAAATGCACAGATCCCTACCGTGGGCCAGATCTGTGCTGGCACTTGGGGACCAGACAGCCCCGCCCCACCCCTGTGAGCAAACAGCCTTTCTTACAGGGTAAGCAAGACATGAGGGACATATTAGAACACAGCTTTTCTGCTAAGCTGTACTGGTTTTAATTTTGTGTGGATTTTTAAAAAAATGTCAATGTCCTTACGTTGCTTATCACGTCCTTGAAATGAGATGTCAGATTGTGTCCCCTTCACCTCTGCAGCTTGACCTTGGTGGTACCACGGTGCTTGGTCCTTGAGGTGGACCTGGAGAAAGAATCCCTCCTGGACACTGTCTGGCCCAGGCCCTTCTCTCTGGGATACTTTGGGGTTCAGAGCCTTTAGCTTTCTTCTGGAGGTTCATCCACCTGACAGGCAGGCAGTTCTTTCCAGGACAGAACGTCCCATGGTTTGCAGATGGCCAGGCCCCAGAAGACTCTGCTGCCCCTCCCTCGGAGAGAAGGTAGGCATCCCTCACCTGCACAGGTAGAGCCCACATGAAGTTTGGGGCCAAGAGGGAATGGAAAACCCACAGTTGAGGGATTTCCCTCGTATACTGCCCACACAAATCCCATGTTGCCCCCTCACCCAGTTTCCCCTCTCATCACCCGGCATGGCTTGATGTCTGGGACAGTGGTAGGCAGGGGCACCACAGTTCTCTGTACCATCTGCAGGGGTCCAGGCAGCCACCACCGTGCCCATCCTCTTGCCTAACCTGAAGTGCAGCTTCTTCGACCATCCCATGAACCGGGGGCTCCTCTGCCCTGTCCGGCGGCCCTACAGTCCCTCCTCGGCTCTGACACCCAGTCAGCCAAAGAAGCCCAAGATGCAGGTGCCTGGGGACATGTTCCCTACCGACTGGAGCCCACCACCTATAGAGTTCCTAAACCCGAGGGTACTGCAGGCTGGCCAGGAGGCCCCAGCCCAGAGGTGGGTGGCAGTGGGCCCCCAGGGCCCGAGGAGACTGGCCCGCCAGCCGTCCAAAGAGTTGGAGCAGGAACGCCCGGACTCACTGAAGGAGCTGTTCTGCAACATGGCAGGTCTGTGCCAGCAGGCTGTGGCCCCAAAGGTGGATGTCCATGCCCCGGTAAGCCAGTGTCCACCGCTTTGCCTCCCCTCCTTGGCTCTCCCTCTTCAGCCACCCTTTCACAGTCCCCTTAGGCCACCACTTTTGGCCACTCCTCCTCAGCCATGCCCTAGCTGCCCTTCCTGAGCCACCTCCCCTTGGCTATCCCTTCTCAGCCACACATGCCCAACCTCTCCTCAGCCCTTGGGCCCTCGTGTCTGGAAGCATAGGCCCCTAAAGCCAGGCTGCTAATGGATGACTTGGGGGTAGCACCAAATCCATGCCACTTCTGCATGGGGCCATCAAGGCTTTTGTGGCTAAGGTGAGGATTATGGCCCTGGAGCACAGGGGGGGGCCTTGGTGCCGGGGTCAGGGCCTGATAGGGCACAAAGACTAGTGCTGACTCTGGTCCAATGGATCAGGATTCCTAAGTGAGATTTCAGTGATGAACTTCCAGTAGGGAATAGACTACTGTTGCTAGGTAGACCGTGGAAACATTTAAGGACCCATAGATTCAGTTAATTTATTCTAAGAATAGGGCTTCAATTGTTGGTAGTAGCTCAAGATTATCAATAACCTAAATGTCTACCACTAAGGAATTAATAAATTATGTTTTAGTCATACATCAGAATACCCTGAAAATGTTGTTTAAAGAGAAAGAGAGAGAGAGAGAGACTGAAAATGTGAGAATCCCTTTGGTATTGTTAGAGAATGATCCTCAAGACATTGTGAATAGAAAAGAGAAAGTGTGGAATGAGGTGTATGCTACCATTTGTGTCAGAGGGGGAAGCTATGACACAGTACTGTCTCCATAAAATATCTCCAAAAGCACACAAGGAATGCCTACCCTGTTGGGGGGAACTAGGAGGCTGGGGTGAGGGGTTTAGTCATATAAATGTGTTACCTAACCTTAATCAGAAAAGTAAACAATATAAAGGGCTTCATTTAGATTTTTTTTCTTTGTTTCCCTCTATCTTTGTCTTTCTTTCTTCCTCGTTCTCATGTCTCGTTTCTCCAGTTCGCCTCTGGGGGCTCAGAGGCGAGCTATGTCAACAGTTTGGATTACTTACTGCAAGAGAAGAGGTGAGTATGAGAAACAGCCCATCGTGGGGTGTTTGTGTCTATGGCGTTGGCAGCAGTCCAGGACTCAGAGCAAACTCCGGTCAGAATAAAGCAGCCTGCCCCCGAGAGACACTGTGCGCTCTGATTAGCAACGGGCACTTGGTGCGGTAGCTAGGTCAGACAGCGGCATCCCCAAGGCAGAGAGCTCCCAGACCCCCAAAGCCCACGTCCCAGGTCCTCTCTCCACCTCACCTCGTTCCACTCACGCACGCCAGTTGGGAATGTCACGACTCCCACCCCGTGTTCTCTCAGAGGCAAGTGGAAAAGCAGGCAGTTCTTGCTGCTGAGGCACAGCCTGACTGCGCTGGGCACACGGGAGCTTCCGCTGCCCTGTCCTAGCACGTGGGTGTGCTCTTCCCATTTTCCATAGACTTTATCTATTTCACACCTGCTTCCTTCCTGGTGTTACAGTGGAGCCATGTCTCCTGTAAAAGTTAGTTTCTGAACTAACTTCTAACTAGCTTTTCCACTCTCTACCCTAAGCAGTTTCTAAAGGCAGCACTAAAGGCAAAATCTGAGCCTGATCGGGATTGGAAATCCCAGGGAGGTACAAGTGGTGTTATAGGCCACAACCTGTAGTTCTTTGTTCTGTCGAGTGGCTGATGATGTCTTCAACTTGCATGGAGGGGCTATTTTGGGGGAAAATACTAGACCCCTGCAGCACCCAGTGGCTCCTCTCACTGTGAGAAGCCCAGGCTCAAGAGGACCGAGGCTGGCTGGGAATGGGCTGCTCATCTATTCAGATCGTCACCACTGGGGCATGCCCTTTGCTGGCACGTGGGCAGGTTGCCCACGCTACCTAATTCTTGTGTTTTCTCTCGGTTGTGTTGTTTTTCACAGTGCGTGTACATTACATTTGCAGAAGTCACGTGTAGGTGGGGCGATGCCACCGTTCAGCACTTTGGGTCCTGACTCACCTCTCCTGCTGGGAGGGCTGATGCCTCACTCGTCTCTGCTCTTCCCAGAGTTCCAGCCCCATGTTCTTTTCTGCAGGAGGAGGGAGTGAAACACACGTGGGATGAATTATTGTTTTCTCTGCCTTTGTTCATTCCTGGCCCTGCGGCCCACCCCACAGTCATCTCATCTCCCTCCTCCGTGCAGCTCCTCTAGGCTTGCTTACTGTCCTGACACATTCATCGTTTAACTCCTTCACCTGAGTATATTTTCTCCCAATTAGACTGAATGGAGGAAGGGACCTTGTCTATATATTTCCACAGTGCCCACTATGCTATAAATTTAATAGATGCTTGAAAATGTTGACAGCGAGCAATGGTGGGGACTCCTCATGCTGGGCTCTCACTGTGCCTGGCATTGGAGGGTCTTGCTGTTAGTCACCTTGGGCTGCTGTAACAGAATACTGCAGAATGGGGTCCAAACAACAGATTATTATTTCTCATGGTTCTCAAGGCTGGAAGTTCTGATCAAGTTCTGGAGATCAAAGTTCTGGCTGATTGGTTTCCCTTGAAGGCTCTTTTTCTGGCGTCTTGCTGTGTCCTCCTGCAGCAGAGAGTGTGTGAACTTTCTGGAGTCTCTTCTTACTAGGACACTAATCCTATCTGGTCAGGGGCCCCACTCTATGACCTAATTTAACCTTAATCACTTCCTTACTCCAAATACAGCTACACTGGGGGGTTGGCACTTCAACATATGAATTTTGGGGACACAAACATTCACTCCATAGCACGCTATGTGCTGGGCCCCATGCCAGGCGATGGATAATAGCCATTGGTGTAGCCCCTGTTCACCTGGAAATCGAACATCATGATCACAGAATTCCCCATGCTATAAAATTGCTGTGCGGGGGCCCAGAAGAGTGACCCTGAACCCGGAGGTCAGAATGTGCTCCCCAGAGGTGTCTTTGTCCTTGAACCTTGCAGAATATGAAGTTTTGAGTTTGTGAGGGGGGTGTCCTCACATGTAAAGATGGGTAGGACAGAACGTGCTGGTAAGGACCTGCATCCTCAGTGCTGAGGGGTGGAGGGGCGTGGCAGGAGGCTCAGCCTAGGTGTGCTTGGGGCTACATCACGAGGGCCCTGTGCACACAAGGCTGGGTGATGGGAGAACTTTAAGCAGGCAGATATGCTTTCCCAGTGGGTAAGAAAGATCTCATATTCGGCCTTTGGAGGATGGATGGGAAGGGCGAGAGAGGGCCAGTGATGGGGGATGTGGGGACCTGGGGAGGGGCTTACCCTGGGAGGTCCCTGGGAGGAGGCCAGTGCGGCATCTGATGGCCAGGGTTGTGGACACATGCTGCTGGAGGGTCCTGGTCACATTCACCTGGCAATCATCCAGTTACTGGCTAGCTTGGAGGATCTGAGCTCAGGATGGGCTAGAAAGAAAATGTTTGAGACCTAAGGACCTGTGGGCACAGAGGGCTCCAGACCACTGTGGGTCAAAGGGGCAGAGAGGGAATGACAGGAGCTAGAGGGCTGCCGTGCATGGCCACAGAGTTGGGCCATGTTTTAGGGATACTGAGGCATGGGGGCCCAGTCCTCTCCCAGTCGTGTACCTGGGGCCCGGAAGGAGCAAAAGGGCCAGGCCCAGACCTTGGTGTATTAAAGTGAACAAAGTTGGGTGCAGTGGTGCACACCTCTAGTCCCAGCTACTCAGGAAACTGAGGCAGGAGGATCACTTGAGCCCAGGAGTTTGAGACCAGCCTGGGCAACATAGTGAGACCCTATCTTTAACAAAAAGAAAGAAAAGTAAATGAAAGCCAGAACAAAGTACAGAAATAAAGATACATTTGAAATTGTATGGTGAGAAACATCTTCTTTCAGGAGCTGTCTGTTCATCTCTGTGCATTTGAAAACAGCACAATCTATGCAATGCAACCCCTCCCTCCTCTTCAAAAAATCTAAATTTGAGAGCCTTTCTGAAGGTAGACCGGGCCAGTGCAGCCCTCTGGTTCATTGGCTCTAGGTGGGGGTCCCTGCAGCCTGGTGCTGGGGCTGGACAACCAGGAACAGCATTGACCTCTGGCTTTGGCTCTTATCCCCCCGCAGGCAACAGACCCTGGAGCAGGAGCGAGAGAAGCTGCTTCTGCGGGACTGTCTCAATCTCAACTCGTTGCATTTTGATGAAGATGAAGTATCTCTCACACCTGAGCATAGGTGAGAGGCCAGGGCCCTGAAGGGGAGGGACTTAAGTGTCCACCCGCTGTGGTTTTGGACAGAGTTTGACTAGCAATTTGTGTATGGGCTCTCAAACTTCTAAAGCTACCTCCTTCTTTTAAAACCACATTCATTCATTGACTTGAGACATATCTGAACACCTGCTATGCATCAAGATCTAGTCTGAGCCTTTGAGGATACAAGGATCATAAAACACAGCCTGCTCTGCCCCCATTATCTGCCCAAATTTATATAATAGAACCAGCTCTCTTGGGAAAATAGCTACACAAAACCACAATCCAAATGAAAAATGCCTTTCAAGGGGAGATTACAGCCACAGGATATTTTTCATCTTCCCTTGTGTGGGGAAAAGAAAGTGGCTCTGTCTGTGCTGTCATCTGGGTGGGGGCTCTGCTGCTCTGATTTAATTGGGCCATTGGCTGGAGGGAGGGCTGGTTTCATCTGTACCACAGAGTCTCAGAGACGCCAGGGGCCACAGTTGAATCCATCTTCAGGGCACATCTGGCTTAGTCTGTTTGGGCTGCTAGAACAAAGTGCCATAGACTGGGTGGCTCATAGACAACTAAGATCTATTTCTTACAGTTCTGGAGGCTAGAAGTCCAAGACCAGGTGCCAGCATGGTTGGGTTCTGGCGAGGGCCCTCTTCCGGGTTGTAGACTGCCACCTTCTTGTTGTGTCTTCATGTGATGGAAAGCAGTAGAAAGGCTCTGTGGGCTCTTTTATAAGGACAGTAATGCCATTCATGAGGGCTCCGCCTTCATGACCTCCCCAAAGCCCCACCTCCTAACACCATCACCTTGGGGTGAGGATTCAACATATGCATTTGGGGGGGACATGAACAGTCTATAACACTATCCATTTGTCTATCTGTCCATCCATCCATTCATGTATCCAACAAATGTGTATTGAGTGCCTGCCATGCACCAGGCTCTGTTACACCTCTGAGGATATAGCAGAAACAAAACCAGACAGATCTCTGCCCTCGTGGTGCTCGCTTTCAGGTTGGGGAAACAAACAATAAACAAGATAAATGAAGCTTCATGACAAGTGCTCGTGAGAAAAGATAAAGCAGTGGTGGGTGGGGATGAGATATTGGACAAGGGGTCAAGGAATGCCTCCATGAGCAGGTGACTTGTAAGCCAAGCCTGAAGGAGGTGAGAGCCAGCTCTGGGCATCCCTGCTGTGGGAGTGCACCTGGTGTGTTGGGGAGCAGCGAGGAGGGGACAGGAGGGCAAGGAGGCCAAGGGCAGGTGCTGGATCTCAGAGCTTTGCCACTGAGCCGGCCACTGTCAATCTCAAACATTGTCAAAACATTTTCACAGGCCTCTCTGGCTGTGGTGTTGAGGAAAGACCAGCGAGGTATGGGGGCGAGGGCCAGAGGGGGCCAGGGACAGATGAAGCAACAACCCAGGAGCAGTGATGGTGCCTGGGTGAGGTGGGTGGTGAGGGGTGGGCCAGTTCTGGAGTTATATTCAGGGTAGAAGTGATGGGATTTGCTGACAAACTGAATGGAAGGTGTGGGAGAAAGAGGAATCAAATGAGACCCCAGGAGTTGGGCCTGTGCAACTGAAAGGCTGGAATTATCTTTAATTAAAATGGGGGAGACCAAGTGACCACAGGCTGTGATGAGGGCTGGGCACAGGATCACAAGTTCATTTGGGACATCCCTGGGGAGGTCCGGTAGGTAGTTCAGATGTGCATGCAGAGGCAAGCTTGGGGAGTCCCCATGTACAGATGACATTTAAAGCCATGAAACCAGATGAGATCACTGGGGGGTAAGAAGAGGGAGCAGAGCAAGCCCCCAGGGCACAGGGCCGATGGCAATTGGGGGCCAGAGGAGGAGGCAGCAAAGGATGCTGAGCAGGTTGGAGGGAAACCAGGTGCCAGAATGCTGGGCTGCTGGTAGCTACAGTGTGGGATGACTGAGAAATGACCATTGCATTTAGCAACGTAGAGGTCACAGTGACCTAGACAAGAGCAGCACTAGTGGGCTGGTGGGGACGGGCCTGACTGGAGTGGGAGGTTCATAAGAGAACAGGAGGAGAGCATGAAAGAGAGAAATGAGCAGTAGCTGAAGAGGGCAATGGGATCAGGACAGGTTGGTTTCTTTCTGTCTGTCTGTCTCTGTTTCTCTTTCTTTCATGGAGGAAGTAACAGAATGTAGGCTAACAGGAATGACCCAGGAAAGGGGGAATTCATGTGGAGAGGGCCAGAGGGGGATCTTTAGGAGCTGAGTGCCCAAGAGGGGACGGGGCAGCCTCGGCTGTGTGACCAGGGCAGGCCGGTCGGCACACCTCGCTGGCCTGCCGTCCAGGCCTTTCTGCTTCTGTGAGCCTGAGTTGTGTTATTTAGCACTGGTCCAAGCGGTGATGGGTGAAGTTTTGGTACACACTTTAGCATTCCGCATCCACTCCTTGTGGGACTATTGAGTGATAGATAATATGCAGACTTGCTCCAGGGGCCCTGCCTCTCAGATCCTCGAGTGATTTACGCTGTATGGTCGCCCAAAGGCCATGCCTAGGTTGCCACTTGCCTCAATCCTCAGTTTTTCTGATAATCATCTCTTGACTAGGTCAGGGATCAGCAAACTTTTTCTAAATCATTGGTAAATAGATAGTAAATATTTGGGGCTCTGAGGGCCCGTGGTCTCCACCGTAACTACTCCACTCTGGTGTTGGAGCATGAATGCTCCCACACACAATAGGTACATGAATGAGCGTGGCTATGTTGCAGTAAGACCTTGTTTATAGAAACGGGCTGTGGGCAGGGCTGGGCTGTAGGCCATCGTTTGCTTGGTCTAGACTAGGAGGACCCCTGCCTCCTGGCTGGTACCAGATTTCACCATGAAAATCTGGGAGTGTGTTCAGATTTGAACAGCATCCCACGTAGGCAAAGAGAGCTCCCTGCACACTGCACAGACAGTTGCTTCCCAAAAGGGCAGGTGCTGGGTCCTTTCTGATGTCTCAGGAACCATCTGCATAGATATGGTAGAGCATGAAGACTGAATTTAATCATTGTGTTAAGGGCCAAAGGCCTCCTTTGACAAGAGTGCCTTGGTGGGTATTATATGAGGCAAAAGCAATTTTCTCTCTGAGCTGAGACTTGTGGATTTGGTTTCTAGGTTTTCTGCTCACTAGATAGATAGCCTTGAAATTAAACCTTTTAAACCCTTTTTAAAATCGCTGTAGTAAGAACAATTCTCCTAGCTCTTTACCTTCCTACCGAGTGTATCCAGGATTCCAGAAGTCATGGCTTGGATGTTTTGAAAGGAAGCTGTCTGTGTGACCAACTTAAGGCAGAAGATATTCCTGACTTTGAAATTGCTTCTAATTTTCCAGGCATGTGAATTTCCCAGTGGTGCTTTGACAAAGCCTTTTTGACAACAGCCACTTTGAGGTGGTTGTTTTGATGTGGGATCATTTTGATGGGACTGTTCAACTTTCTGCTTTAAAGAAATCACTCACCGATATACAAAGCCAGCAGCCTCTTCTATCCCTGAATGGGGCCAGAGGAAGTGTTGGGGGCCAGGGAAGGGGCTGGGGGTCAAGAAGGGGTGAGGCTGAGGGTTGTGGGGGGTAGCCACCATCTGCCAGACAAGGCCTCCTATGATTGCCACAACTGCCTGTCACAGAAAGGACCCCCAATCATCCTGAGCAGACCACCTGAGCATGCTCTAAGACTGGGGGCTTGCATCTTGGGTGGATGACATCCTAAATACTCCATTTCTTAAAGTTGAAAGACCTCGTGTGTGTGTGCTGAGGCTGGGGAAGAGGCGGACACTTAAACCACCACATCATCCTTTATCCTCAGCTCTCGGCTATACAGGAAATCCTCAATTAGATGTGTGCATCATCTCAGAACTCTTAATAATGCACATACATTATAGTTAATATCACAGAAGTCCCTTTGAATGATAGTTTGGGACAGCTAGGACCCCATTACGGATTAGCCTAGTTCTTAGAAACTTTTAATAATTTGTACATTTTTTTCTAACTGTAAAAGCAATAGATACAAAACTTTAATGGCAAAAACACGAACAAAATAGAAAATTATTTTACCATTTGTGTTGCAGTTTGCTGAGACTGCTTCCAAAGCCTGCAGGGTCAGAATCCTCTCGGTTTTCCAACATAATTTCCATTTTGGGGGCCATTTCATTCTCAAGATGGCCCTGCCCTGTGGATTGGGGCCTTACTTTGGGTCACTTGACTGGAAAGTGAGACAGATTTTGTGGGGCCAGCCGGCAGGCCACTGAGTAGGCCACTCCACCTCCAGCACCAGCCACTCGTGTCCAGATGCTAAGGGGGCCTCCCCTGTGTTTTCTGTCTCAGACAGTGGGTCCGGCTGGAAACCTGGGTATGGGCCGTCTTCTGGTAAGAGAAGGGGAAGCAGTGTCCACAGCTTGTTTTGTTGTTATTGTTTGTTAAGTGTGTGTTACATTGCTACAAAGTCCAGCAGAAGACAGCTATATGAAGTAAACAAGAAGTGTCTCCTCTTTCTCTCCCCTTTCCCAATTCTGTTCCCTAGCAATGTCTCTAGATAGTAGTTGGGTGTAGCCTATGTATGTGGGGTGCCGTGTGTGTCTAAGTATGTCTGTGTGTGCATATGTGTGTAGACACATGCACATCTACACACACAGACACCCCTTCTGCAGCTTGCTGTTTTCACCCACCAGCATACAGGGCCAGGTGCCCACACCAGTCCTTCATCGTGTAGAGATTTTAGCACGTTCTTAGGAGCTGCCTCTCTTTTCCCCTTCTGCATGTCAGTGGGTCCTTAAGTCTGGACAGTTTTTACCTCTCCCTAATATAGTCGAAATGTGACTCCCCTCCTTCTCCTTGTTCCTTCCCTGTCCGTGGGCCTGGCTCTGACCTGCTAAATCAGACTCTCAGGACAGGGCAGGGCCAGGATCTGCACTGCAGGACCCTCCCTGACCCTAGCCGCCTCTACCTTTGCAGAGCCACCCAGCAGTCTGCTTTGTCAGTTGTTCTACTCGCCAAGGGTGTTGCAGTGATTTGTTTACACTTTTCCTGGCTGCCCACGCCTGACTCATCCTTCAGCACCTGGCATCATAAACACAGAGTGAAAGTTTGACCTAAGAGAGCCACTGGGTGGGGCTGGGGCTGGGGCTGTGACCAGCTCTTTTGGCTCCTGGAGTAGCGTGCTGAGGGAGGAGTGTCTTGACAGCGGAAAGCGAAGGGTTCCTTCGTCTGCCCCTGATGGGCTCTTCCTGCATCAACAGGTGGCGCTGTCCTCCTGACCTGTGGGGGGTACTGCAGGGCAAAGAGCACCTGGCCTTCCCTGGGCCTCCTGCCATGCTGTAGACCCAGGTGCACCTGCTCACCCTGGCTCTTCTGCCCTTGCTTTGCCAGGATGCTGGTGGAGAGGTTCTCCTTGCCAAAGCAGGTCATCCCGCCAGTACATCCAGGCGAGACTGTGTTTCTGCCCAGAAGTCTTGCCCTGCCTTGCATCCTGGACTCTTCACGCCTAAAACCACGAAACCACCTGGAAGGGCTGTTTCTCAGGTAAGTGTGTGTGAGGGAGCGGAAGGGGCGGCGCATCCTGGACAAGTCTCCTCCCTCCTGGAGCCCAGGGTTAGAGCCTCCTCAAAGGAGGAGACCCAAAGCAATATTTTGGCCTATTTGGGTATGTCAGCTTTTAGGGATATAAGTGACATACTCACACATAACTATTTATAGTATTTAATTTACTAATTTTGATACATATACTTAAAAAAATTCTTCATTATAGCAAATATATAGTTGTGCATTTACATGTTCATGTTGCTTTCTCTTCCCCCACACCCCAGTTTCACAGAATAGTTTGAGTCAGACTCATCATACATGCCTTTGGGGTTATGTCTCTGTCAGCCCCTAGGCCACTTTCTGGGCCATGCAGTGCATGATGGTCTCTTCCATCTACTTTTTAGGGACACTGCACTTCTCCAGTCGGTATATGGTACTGACACTGAAAGGTTTGTCGCCAGCCACAAGTACACTCTATAACACTAGGACAGCTGCTTTGTTCCTCTTCTTTTGGAAAGTAAATTCATGGACATTATCATATAACCACTGACTATGTTGCTGTTTAGGAGGATTTTTAAAAAATTTACCAAAATCATATCCAACACTTGCAGTTGTGAGCTAATATATCCAAGAATAAGAAAAAGAAAAAGCCCACAGGATTCATTGCAATGGCCATCCGCTGGGTGCTCATGCAGGCTGGCACCCTGCTGGGTTGGGGGGGCTAATGAGGGGACACCCTGGCCCACCCGGGAAGGAGCATAGAGGTCAGGCTGCTTCTGTAGTGCTGTCAGTCACCTTAGGACTTGAACACAGGACTCTTGCCCTCTTTTCCAGCTGCTCAGGGCTTTCTTATATTTATTTCATTAAGTTAAATTAATCTAATTAAATCCATCATATTTTATAACATGAAGATTACTCTTAACATTTTGATATGCTTCCTTTAAAAGTTCTTGTCACAGGAAGTTGCAAGCGCCTATAAATGTAGAGAGACCAGTAATAATGTACTTCTGCATAGCCACCACTCGGTTTCAGCAAGGACCAACTCAAAGCCAATCTTGTTTGCTCTCAACCCCTGCCCAGTAACACCATCTCCCCAGGACTACTTTTAAGGAAATCTCATGTATAATTTAATCTGTAAATATTTCAGATGTGTCTCCAATATTAATATGTGAGACTATTTTTAGGTGTAACCTCAACACCATTATTATACCTAAAGAAATAGTTATTTCTTAATAGCATCAATATGTTAGTGTTATTTCAATTGTTTTATAAATGTTTTTTATAGGTTGCTCAAATCAGAATCTGAACAAGGTTCAAACATTGCAATTAGACAATATAATGTTGATGAAATAATGTAGCATTACATCGATGCTGTAACGTATTTAACCATTTTTATCATTTTTTTTGTCATATACATTATTTCCAGCTTTCCTCTGTTATAAACAATGAGGTGGAGGATATTCTTATACATAAATATTTGCCCAGAGGTCTAGACTATATTCCTAGCTGCAGTGTGAGATTATCCTAAGTGTTAAAACATTAGTAAAGGTTCACACTGTCATATTGACATGATATCTAATAAAGAGATGAAAAGATAAAACAAGAGAACAAAGGAAAAAGAAGAAAGGGTGGAGCCGGAGAAAGGAGAGGGACAAAGAAGAGGCTGGGCAGGGACTGCAGTGGACACACAGGACGGCGTCTTCCTGGGCTGCTTTGGCCTTAGGGTTTGTGCCAACAGCAGGTTTTCTGTCCCAGACGGGTGGCGGGCAGGAAGTGTTTGACAGATGAGATGGCCTGTGGAGTGGTGACCTGGGATCAGAGCAGCCCTGCCAAATGGGGCCAGGTGGCTGCCCAGCTTCCCTGGAGTGCGGGATCCAGGCCCTCCTCCCTCAGATATGCTAATGAAGGACGGTGGAGATGGTGTTGCCGGCGCCTCAGATCTGTGGCTTTGGGAATCTGAGTGTGGCTTTCTGGAGGAATGCCAGCTGTGTGACTCTGTGACTGGGTCCCAGGACTCCTGCTGGGCAGTGGTAAGGGTCACTTCCTGGAGGTCACCATTTAGCCCGGGGTCATCTTTCATTTCCTGTTTGTGCCAAGTGGGAAATACTAGTCGTTCAATAATGCCCCACCATATTCAGCCAGAAGCATGGCTATGAGGAGGACAACAAGGTCACTGGATCTCTTAAGAAGCAGTCAGTCCAATTTCTTGCCATACAGAAAGTTAACACTGTGAGCTGATAGGTAATTTTTTATTTTCCTCATTTTACTCCTCTGTATATTCCAAATTCTCTACAATGAATGTGCATCATTTTTATCAGAGGCGGGAAAAGTGAATGCCATTTTTTAGAAATCACCTCTTGAAATGCATTCACTTCTTCTGCCCTTCTGTGAAGAGGGGAAAATATCTTTCTTCCCTGTGAACAAAATGGGAAATGCCAGCACAAATTAAGCAAGCAGTTTGTTTCAGATCGCAGGGCAAGTACAGGCACACAGACCTGGTGTCTGAACGCCACAGCCTCCCGGTCGGTCGGATGGCGCAGGGTTATGTGTGAGAATGTCCCTCCACCCCGCCCGCGCCCCTGCCGTGCAATTGCAGAAGGCCCGGATGACCCTCTCTCAATCTGACCTGGGGTCAGTCCCTGGGACCAAAATCACATGCCTTTGTGATGGAAGCTGGTACCGGCCATTTCCAGGAGCTGAACCTTTTCCTCCTCCCTTGACAGCATTTCAAAAGGAAATCTGGTCCTCCTGAGTGGAAAAGCATCAGGACAGGAACCGTGTACAGCTGAGGGGCGGAAGTAGGCTCCGTCAGAGGGTGGAAGGGGCCGGCCCTGCTGGATTACTCACAGGCCCGCTTATGGTGTTTGCAAGGGTGTCAGGGTCCACGTTTGTCCTCTGGGTGCATCTGCCACTGTGGTGTGAGGACTGGTGGGCCTCCGGAAGCCCAGTGCCCTGGCGCTCCCCGTGAACACGCCAGTAGGCTGTGCGGTGCAGGGGGTGGGTGAGGTTGAGCTTGGCATCTCCCAGAGGCCCCGCAGCCTCGGCTCTTGTTTTGCCACAAGCTCCTCCCCTTCCTAGAGGAAGATGCCAGGGTTGAAACCCAGGTGACATAAATCCAGTAGTTATGGAGTGTGGACAGGGCTGAGCCGTCCAACTGGCTGCATCTGGCCCTGAAAGTAAGGAGCAAGCAGGGGGTAGCGCGGGGCTGCTGCGGGGACCCCTGGGCTTCTGCCTGCGCTGTGCCTGCTTATCTTTAAGCAGAGGAAAGGAAGAAGGAGAAGAGGGGCACAGGCGAAAGCTTTGGCCATTATGTGTTTCTGTTGTATTTAGGGATTTTATTTAGCTGTTGGTTTGAGTAACTTGGCAAAGGCCCAGAAACCGATACTGTATAAATAACTACACTGGGTGTTTATCCTTCCGCTGTCACTTGGGATTCCCAGGCATTTGAAGACTTTGCCCTCTGGGACTGCTGCCTGTAAAACAGATGAGGAGGTAGAGGCTGGAGAATCTTTCCTTGATGGAAATTCCGAGGAGAAGGTCAGAGCTCTGCTCCAGAAGCCCAACACGTTCAGCCGCGCTGGGCCCCTGTTTGTTGTTACTTGTTTTATGTGTTTCTCCTTTTTGGTTCATTTCCTCCCCTTCCTTCCTTCTGTTTCAGTGGGCAGCGAGTGTGGAAGCAGACACCTGCCCGCTGTCATTGCTGGGGATTAGCAGAGTTCTGACCGTGGCTGCACCTCGTGCCTCTCTCATTCCCACTCACTGGTGAGGGCCCGGTCGGAACCTCCCTTCGCTGGGATCCTCGGGCCTGACAGCTGGGGTCTTCATGCTCAGCCAGGCCTGAGTGTGAGTGGCATCCGCTGCCCAGGGAGGCTCTGTCCCTCCCCTTCTCCCCCCAGAGTCCTCTGACATTCTCAGGATGACTTCTGATCTCAGCATTGGCTTGGCCCTGGGCAGTGGCATGCACGTGGACCCAGCATCGACATTCTTAATGTGGGGATGTGACCCTGACAACAGCTGATTCTATCACCCAAGGATATTTAGCTTTCACTGCACACCTCCCCTGACCCCTGTTTCTTTTTCTTCCAGGCTTCCCTAACTGGGTGCCTGGGCGGGGACCCTCCTTCCTGCCCCAGAGTCAGGACGGTGTATGCACACGAGGCCCATTCCCTGCCCTGCGGCCAAGCTCGAGGTCACCTGTGCCATCGCAAACTGCGTAGAAGGGTTTATGGCTGAGCCAAGGGGATGCAGCACTTCCCTCCTGCCAAGTGTGCACCCAGCCTGCAGAGGGAATCCTGACATCTCATCTAGCCCTAAACACAGAATTCCTTGAAAGCCATTCACTCCAGGGCAGAGCAGGACTATGTCCTTCCTGGCTTGCTCTCACTCCTGGTCTTACAGAAGAAACCCAGCTCAGCAGCAATGAACTTGAAAACCCGACCGACCGATCATTGATTTCTCTGGCAGAAACTGCACAGCAAGGCCAGCACAGCAGAAGGGAGATGTTGCGACCCACGAGGTCTCCCCCTCAGAGCACCAGTTAGTAATGTGTTGATCTGAGCCAACAGGGGCTTGTACAATCAATTCCCCTGCTGGGAAACCGGCAGGGTGCCCCCCCCCCAGTGGAATGCCAGAGCCAGAGTCTCTGTTCTCGGAGTCCCTGAAGTGCCAGCCTTCTCACCACATGGTCTCTGGTGGGGCCCTGCCAATTTGCAAGGTCTGCCTGGGTATTGTCCACATTCAGGGTGCTGTGCATGTACTTGAACCATGCATCTTGGGGGTCAGCCCATGAAAGTCTCTGTGTGACCAGGCACGTGGAGTAGAGCAGAGTGTGCCAGCAGCCCTCGGGTGCACACGTGTTTGTATGTACAAATAAAGGTCTATTTCAGAGTGGTAAACTTCACAACCATGGGAACAAAGCTGCTTTCTCCTCTGAACTTAAATGACTTAAAAAAAAAAAACATACAATTTATAAATTGCCTGGACATACTCAGGGAGACAGCAGCTTCTCAGAGGAGAATCTTTGTTTTGTAGCGTTCTGTTCCTGGCAGATTAAAGTATAATGTCCTTTTGAAAAAAGGAAAAGGAGGAAGAGGAGGAGGTTGGGCTGACTGAGGAACTTTTAATCTAGGGTCGTGACATTAAATACTATCTGAAATGTTCTTTCCATGGATTTGGGCCATTAAAAAGAAGAACAAACATGAAATTACTTTTTTATTTCCTGGAGCCATATTAATTGTCATTGAGGCATTGTCTAGAGAGAGAGAGCACAAAGGAAGAGTCACAAAATGCACAGGGAGTAGGGAGTAGGAGAATCCTACCCCAAACCCAGTCTCTCTGGGGATGACCAGGAGTTCAGGAAGGATGACAAAGTCCAGCTGACTCTTCATTAAAATGACCTCCAAAGCACCTTCCACCAGAGGCCCTACAACCACAAGAAACATTTGAACTCCTCGTTTTACAGAGACCTGGGATCTTGTAGGTCAAGGTGATGTGCAAAGCAATGACATACTCAAGGCAGGGCTCCTCTGCATGCCAGTGGTCTGACTTTCAGAGCTCCTGTTAGAAGGCAGAGGCCCAGTGGGATGGCACGGGTGGACACGTAGGTTATGACCACAGCCATGGGGCCAGTCTGAGTGCCTTTCCCCGGACTCTCAGACAGCTGCTGCTCACATGCTTTCTAAAGAATCCTCTGTGGATTGAGATTTCCTTCCCAGAATTTCCCTGACCTGGGCTCCTTTCTGTTATTTTCCTATCTTCTTAGGTGTCCCCTTTGTGTTAGAGAAGCACGGCAGAAACACCCCGTGAAGCCAGATCCCCAGCCTCTGGCCATGTCTGGGGGTAATCCTGCCCACCCTGCGCAGCCTGGAGCCCAACACTAAGACCCCTGATTCCTGGGCTCCCTCCTCACCTTGCCACATCCTCTTCACACCCCTGGCAAATACCTTGGCCTCCCCATCTGTCAAATGGAAAGGACAAAATGTGATCCCCAGCCCTATGTTTTAAACACTGTGTGATATGTTCATGGAAAGCACTCAAAAAAGCAAATAATTCTGATGATGGCATGGGTTGCTTTTCCTTCCAAGCTCTTCACATCCAGGGCTCAAAAAGCATGTTTGTCTGTGGCATCGGGGAAGTGCTTCCCAGCATCCCGGTGAAGCTGAGCGGTGACGGTCTCCCGCAGTGTTACTGAGGCAGGCGTGCTGTGAGGCCGCCGTGGGGCCTCTCCTAACCTCGCCTCTCTGCCCGCAGCTCCCCGCTGGCCCAGCAGCTCTCCCTTCTGCGCAGCGGCCTCTTGAGCACACTCTACCTGCACGCGCCCGACTGCCCGGTGCCCCTGCTCCAGTGGCTGTTCCAGGTGAGAACCATGGACCTGCCACTAGGTGGCGGGAGCGTTGCGGCCTGGTAGCCCTGGACACTTAACCTCTTCTTGCCTTGGGTGCTGCTGGACTGGGCTCAGGACGAGTGGAGGGAGGGAGGTTGATCAGACATTAATCCTCACCATAATGCTAAGGATGCCAAGGTCAGGGAGGTGCCAGGACTCGCCTGTGGGCCCACAGAGCTGGCGACCGCCTGGGGACCTCTGCCTCCCACCTCAGAGTGTGTGTCTCAGGCTGCTGCCTGTGCCTTTCCTGAGGGGCCTGGTGTTCCAAGTGAACTTCAGGTCTAGCCTCTCGGGGATTCAGTCCATGCCACTCAACAAGTGCTTCTGTTGTGACAAAGATCATCTCAGGGCCCACCGCAGCCCTGCAGCACCCCTTGAAGTGTGGGGCCCTCATAAATCTGGAGCTGAGGGTGCTCGGGTGTTTGAGCATTTGCTTCCCTCTGTGCAGTTGTAGGTTAGCTGGAAAAGCCTAGAATAGCTGTGTCCATACCACCCCATTTCTTCCCTCACGGTTGCTGCTAGAACATTTTGCCCTGGGGGACATGCGTTCTGCCTGGGGCTTGAAACCTTTGCACGGAGGAAGATCGAGAGAAGCCGGCAGGACAGCCCAGGACCCAACTGCTGTGATCTGAATGCACGGCATGAGGATGCCGGCCTGGCCTTGGCCACCGCCCAGGACCATCCCTGTTCGGGGACAGGCAGGTCACAAGTTCCAGCTGGTCCCATTCCTGCCAGTTAGAGCCTGGACCCCAGCTGTAAATCAGAGCCACTATGTAGGGTGGATTATTCCAGGAACTCCTCAGCTCAGCAGGCTGGCCGCCGTCCAGAAGGAGCCCTCCAGCTCTCTCTTCTTCCTCTGGGGACTTTCACATTTGTTCATCCCTGCCCTAGAGGAAAAGGAGACACTGGCTCCTGGGGTCCTTGTGTGTAGCTATTGCCCCCTACCCTAAGGCCCAGAAGGAGCCGTGGTGAGTAACAGGAACAGTGGGGCCATTCTTCTCTTCCCTAGTCAGCGCAGCCTCTCTGCGCCTTGCACAGTATATGACAAAATGTACAATCGGGCATTGGGAGGCACAAAGAGCCCATCTGAGACAGTGCCCACAGAGGGTCCTTGTGTGACCCTGACACGGTGTGGCATGCCTTCCCTGTTGGTGCATCGGTCTCCACAAGGTTCTGCGACCCCAGCCCCGGGAGGCACAGGCCGGCCCTCCCCAGCTCTTCCCCCATCTCTGTCACGCTAGGAGGCACAGAGGAGAGGAGTCAGGGAGCCAGCCCTGGGGTCAGACAAACTAGGCGTGAGTTCTGGCTCTGCCTCTTGCCACCGTGTCACCTTGGGCGAGTTGAGTCACAGAGCGAGCTGAGCTCTGTGCCTCAGGATGCTGGGGCCCATGGTGCATGTGAAGGTTAGGTGAGGGAATCCTGTGACCTGCCTTGTCCTTATGGTCCCCCACACCTCTGCTCAGGGCCTGGCCATCGTCTGCAAAGAATGATGTTACTGTAGAGCTTCCGGTTACACTCTGCAGGAAGGAGAAACAAATGCACCCGCCTCTCACACAGCTGAAGGCAGGTCCATGAAAGGCATGCACTTGGCTTTGGGAGCCTTCTGGGCAGTATACTTGGTGCGCTGCAGAACCTCTTGCAGGACTCTGGTTGCTGGAGGCAGAAATCCATGGGGGCTCCCTGAAGTCTCCAGGGGGATTCTTAAAAAGGTGCAGGGGTGGTTCATGGGAGATTTGCTGGGCCGCAGGAAGGGCTGGAACCAGGGATGAGTAAAGGCTGGGATCCTAAGACAGGCCTCTGCTTCTCTCCCCTCCCCAGGCTCCATGGCCAAGTAAGGCCAGACCCTGTTCCCACATCTCATTCCCCAGGAAGGAGAATCTGGTTAGGCTAAGAGGGATTAAGTGGTTCCCCAGTCTGATCAAAGACAGCTAGGTAAGTGGAGTCCCAGGGCTGACAGGGGCCACATGTGTACCTGGGGCCCATTCTGAGAGCCAGGGGTAGGTGAGGATGGCAGACCTCTCCAACTCTGTTTGTTTGACTTTCTTTGAAAAGCCATCCTGAGTTCTCTCAGGGACTTGGTCCTGCTACCCACCCTCCTCCCCTCTCCCAGGGGCTTCAGTGGGGTGTGCAGTGGGCACTTGGGCATTGGCCGAACAGGTTATGGCCCCAGTGCTGAAGATCTCTGTGGCTTGTCCTGGAGCCCTCGTGCATACCTGCAGGTAAGCCTTATTGGGGTAGGTGGATAAAAGCAGGTAGCATATGTCCTCAGTGAATGTATATTCTTGTTAGGAGATAGTCAAGGGTTCAACTATGAAAAAATTACCAGAAGGTACAAAAGGAGGAGAAAGGCACAGTTTTAGACTCTGAGCTGGTGTTTTCTGTGCAGGTTTACTGGGGAGCACTCTCAACCACACATGTGAGGGAGGGAGAGCAGTCCCCTTGGGACTCTGCAACTCCATGACCTTTTAGAGTTGTCCCGATGGAGGCAAGGGGTCCAGGCCCTTGGACCCAGCACCAGCCCCTGGTCAGATGTGGGTTGCATTTGTTGAGGGACACAACCTTGGGCCAGGTAATCCCTCCAAGGTTAATACCCAGAGAGCGCTTGGGCTCAGGGTCCCCCAGCAACAGTGCCCAATCCCTGGGAAGACAAACAGCCTCATCCTGAAAGTGGATGTGCCCACAGTGCCACCACAGCAGGCTTGTCTCAGCATTCTCAGGAGAAGCAGTGGAATGGGCAGCGTGGCCAGCCACGGAGAAACCCTGCCTCTGAGTGTCTGCAGAGACCAGATGGCACTCGTGGGTAGGTCCTGTCCCACTGCTCATCTCCATGTTCCAGATCCCCAGCTTATGCCCCTCAGACTGAAAGAGCATTCAGATAAAGACCCCAGGGAGTCTGAGTCAGGTGGGTGATTCCCCTGTCAACCATTGTTTGAGTACCTGTGCTCAGTACCAAGGACCTTCCAGGCCAGTGGTCTCAGATGATAGGTTAACGTGTTGACCTGGAAATAATTCAAGGGTCACAGAGAGGGGCTGCCCCTCTCTTTGTCCAGCTGACTGTGGCCAGTGCCTGCAAGCTCCTTCTCTCCTCTATACTGGCCCCTGCCCTGGAGGGGCATGGCTGTGACCAGGAGAACCAAGACTCCCACACAGGAAGGTGGCCAGAGTAGGTTTCAAGTGACACAAACCTGGACTTGAATCCTGGCTTTGCTGTTTACTAGCTATGTGATCCTGGGGGAATTGCTTGATCTCTCTGAGCTTGGTTTCCTCATATGTAAAGTGGCAATAATGACAGTATCCTCCTCCTATGTGGACTTGTGAAGATTAAATGGCATTTGTTTAACATGGAGTAGTAGAATTTTGCTACCATTACTCCATGGGAATGACCCAGCTAACTTTTGTTTTTTTCTACCTAGCTGCTGACATGGCCTCCAGAAACTTCTTCAGGAGCCTTTGGTCTCCTGTGGGATCTCAGCGTGGATGGGCTCTTCTGTCAGTCTGGTCAGTACTGAGGTGTGGGTTGGAGACTGCAGTTCTGAGTGCCCAGACTCTCAAGCCTGTAGGATACATGACCCTCAGTGTTCCTGGAGCCCAGCGTGCAGGGCAGGTGCTGGTGGGGACATTGCGTCACCAGGATTGGAGACATCAGGGCATCTTTGGCTCTGGCTCCAGTCTTAGTAAAAAGCTGAGGTGACAGGCTCCTTGGCACCTTGATCCAGGTCACGCAGCCAAGTCCAGGCTGACCTCACAGACTCTCGGGATCCCGGAGCAGTCCAGGAACTGGGCTCAGACTGAGGCAGTGTCTGGGGCTGAGGGACTTCTTGCCTCCGGGTTCTTCTCTAGAGCCCCAGTTTGCTTGGGAGTGTTCCGGGAACATCTGCATAAATCAGGGCAGCTCCTTGAGTTGGGGTCACCAAGGGGGAGGTTCCTAAAGCTGTCCCCCGACTGACAGCCCTCTGGCTGATAGGGTATCAGCGGTACCCCTAAGTTTGGTCTGGGCTGGAATGAGAGCCTCAAGTCCGTTCCTTGATCATGGCATTTAGGAGGTGTATTCAATTCGTGTTTATAATACTTTAAGATGTACAGAGTTCCACAATGGCTGTGCCCTTTCCAGGCTGTCATTCAATACCTGAACCCACACACTTTGGCACCAAAAACTATCACGTAACCAGTTGAAAGTTGCTGACAGCATACGGTGAGAGGGATTCACAGGTGCCCAGACTCCGCCTTTGCCCAGCTGTAGTCTGCTCTCCTGCCCGCCAAAGCACGGAAGCTCTGAAGGCCAAGGTTATAGACCTGTGATGCACCATTTACCCCTTAGCCCTTTGAGTTTTTGCTTTTGTGCCTCTTCTGCTTTAGGGGTTGACTAAGCTGGGAGCCATCTGTCAAATTAGAGCATTCCAGACTCCCCACCCCCACCCCACCACAGACCCCACTAACTGAGGTCTTCTGAATAGCACCAGTCTCAGCACCCTCTCCCTTTCTGTAACCTCTGCCCCTGCAGCCCCAGCTGCCCTTTGGAGCCCCGGGGGCCGTCTCTGCGGCATGCCTGCCCTTTTGGGAACAGAGGCCTCCCTTGTCCTGCTCTTCTCCTCCGTGCAGTGGTATGTGTCTCCTCCGCAGAGGCAGCAGGGATGTCCTACCCTCCTTTGCTTCTTGCCAAATTGTTTCTGATTCACCCTCTATCACAGGGGCCAGAAACCAGTTCCCGGGTGACCCGGGTTATTGGTCAGCTCGGCTCTGGCTCTCCCGACTCCAGAGCATCTCCCATAGACATTACGTGAGAGCCAATCTGGAATTCTGTTTCTCTGCTTAGTGGAATAGAAATTGATCTAGAGGATCTCTACTGATGAGGGGAAAGTCAGAGGCTGGGACCATAAGAGCATTGAAAGTAGAGACTTGAATAGATATTTGCATACCTAGGTTCTTAACAGCATTATTTACAATAGCCAAGAGGTGGAGGCAACCCAGGTGTCCAATGAGAAATGGATAAACAAAATGTGGTATAGACATAATGGCAGAATATTATTTAGCCTTAAAAGGAAGGCATTTCTTTGAATGTCATGATATATTATAAAAAAAAAAAAATGGAAATTCTGACACTGCTACAACATGTAACCTTGAAAACATTATGCTAAGTGAAATAAAACACAAAAGAACAATACTGTATGATTGAACTTACATGAGGTACCCAAAGTAGTCAAATTCATAGAGACAGAAAGTGGAAAGGAGTTTGCCAGGGGCTGGGAGGAGGGAGAATGGGGAGTTGTTGTTTAATGGATCTAGAGTTTCAGTTTGGGAAGATGAAAAAGTTCTGGAGGTGGATGGTGGTGATGGTTGCATAACAATGTGAATGTACTTAATGCCACTGAATCGCACACGTAGAAATGGTAAAGATGGTAAATTTTATGTTATGTGTATTTTACTACAATTGGAAAAACAAAAACAAAAGGCTGGTAGAGAGCAAAGAGCCAGGTGCCAGGTGCCAACTTTTCTGCCAAAAGCTAGAACTAAAATCAACTACCAGTTCATTTCTAAGTGTAGATTAGATCCAGGATTGATGCAAAAGGAAGTCATGCTCCTCAGGCTTCACTGACAACCTGAGTGCTCTGAGTGTGTCTGAGAGGACTGCAGGGCTCTAAGGTACAGAGCTCGGGGCAGAAGGCTGACTCCCTTCCTTTCTGTATCCATGATTGCGTGTGTGTGTTTTCAAGTGGCCGGTCCTTTCTCATATGTAAAATGGGAGATTTGTGTGCATGTAAATTTCTGTCTTTTCTGGACTTTGTGGTGACTGATAGCTCTTTCCAGAGTATGTAGGAAGGGTCTTATGCAATCGTCTTTATCCCAACCCACTTCCTGAGTAAAGGGAGGGCAGAGGGGCCCAGGACAGGGCCTGGGACCTGGACTTCAGAGCATTGGCTGTTTCCGGCATGCTCCGGTGACTGGGGCTGAGGGCTGAGCAGCCCAGGGTACATTGGTATGAGGGTGTGATGGGGAATTATATTCTTGAGAAACAGCACACACACCTGTGCAAAGTTCTTGGTGAGGAAGGGATGTTCTGGAACATTGCCGCTCTTCATTGCAGGGAGTATTTATTTATTCAAGAAAGATGTATTGAGGCCGGGCGCGGTGGCTCACACCTGTAATCCTAGCACTCTGGGAGATCGAGGCGGGTGGATTGCTCAAGGTCAGAAGTTCAAAACTAGCCTGAGCAAGAGCGAGATCCCATCTCTACTAAAAATAGAAAGAAATTAATTAGCCAACTAAAAATATATAGAGAAAATTAGCCGGGCATGATGGCACATGCCTGTAGTCCCAGCTACTTGGGAGGCTGAGGTAGAAGGATTGCTTGAGCCCAGGAGTTTGAGGTTGTTGTGAGCTAGGCTGATGCCACGGGAGTCTAGCTTGGGCAACAGTGAAACTCTGTCTCAAAAAAAAAAAAAAAAGAAAGATGCATTCAGTATTCAGGCACCTCGCTAGATAGCAAAGGGAGAAGATACAGGGATGGACAAGGCATAGTCCCTGTCCTCAGAAGGCTAATAGCCAGGGAGGAGGGAAGGAAATACGCAAGTACAGTAGGAGAGAGAAAGGAGGCAAAGGAGAGAGTAAATTACTTCTAGCTTGGTGGGGCTGGGGTGTGGGGAGGCAGGAATCAGAAAGTGCTTTGTAGAAGAGAGGGCAGTTGAGCCATCTCAGGAAAGATATATAGGGCAGGCATTGCAAACTCAGTTGCCTGTAGGGACCAAGGGAGCTCAGAGATAAGAGCTCCTGCCTTGTCTGAAGGGGCTGTCTGCACCAGTTTTGGTATAGGTAAATGCAGGTCCAGTATTGCCAGATCATTCCATTTTCAAGAGAAGCCACATTTCAATTAGGATATATTTTGACTATTAGTAACAAATCCCTAATTAAGAGCAGTTTGTTATCACACATGACAAGAAATCCAGAGGTAGGTGATTCTGTGATATGTTCAGCAGATCTACAGTATCAGGGCTCTGGATTCTGTGTCTGCCCTTCTCAATACTTTCCCTCAAGATTGCAAAATGGCTGCCATAGCTCCAGACATCATGTTCTCGTGAGACAACAGTGTTCAAGGCAGAAGGGAAAGGATGGGGCATAAGAGGTCATCACCACTCATACTTTCCTCTCTTTTTATCAGGACATTATTTCCATTTTGTTTCATTAGACACAATTGGGTCACAGGCTTTAGAGGATACTTGCCAAGTTTTCTGTCTGCTCAGTGCCTTTTGAACACCCTGGCTATACCTGGAAAATTTCCAGCCTCATGAATCCTACCCCTTTAAGGTAGAACCCAGGAGACTTGCTTTTCCAGCCTCTTTTTAGATATTTGAATTTTTAGTTTTGGAATTTCCATTTAGTTCTTTAATATTTTTATAGTTTCTAGTTCTCTACTGGATTTCCTGTTTGTTCATTATGAGCTTATTTTCTTTACAATAGCTGCTTTAAAATCCTTATCTGTAATTCTAACATATGGGGCATCTAATTTTTTTTTTTTTTTTTTTTTTTGAGACAGAGTCTCACTTTGTTGCCCAGGCTAGAGTGAGTGTCGTGGCATCAGCTTAGCTCACAGCAACCTCAAACTCCTGGGCTCAAGCGATCCTTCTGTCTCAGCCTCCCAAGTAGCTGGGACTACAGGCATGTGCCACCATGCCCGGCTAATTTTTTCTATATATATTAGTTGGCCAATTAATTTCTTTCTATTTATAGTAGAGACGGGGTCTCGCTCTTGCTCAGGCTGGTTTCGAACTCCTGACCTTGAGCAATCCGCCCGCCTTGGCCTCCCAGAGTGCTAGGATTACAGGTATGAGCCACCTCTCCCAGCCTGGGGCATCTAATTCATTACATGGAAAATTCAATATGAACGTGAACATCTATTTAGCATGAGTAAAGAAATTATACCAAATGCTAGACCTTTAGAGGTTGAAGTCTCTTTCTGCCATATCTCTCTGGGATAGTTTCCAGAAATGTGCTTATAGTAATCCTTGCTGATTGCAACCTGGCTTCCCTACCCACCCTTAGAACACTCACAGGGGCTCATGCAAGTGAGGGACCCTGGAGCCTAAGCTTACTTGGCTATGTAGTAGACTGTCTTCCGGCATATAATAAACCTGTTTTCTGCTGAAGTAGCCAGAGCTACTGTTGCCTGCAGCTCAGAGCTCTGACTGCTCAAGTAGCCACCCGTAGGCCAGCCTCTGCAAAGGTGAGGGGAATGACATGGCTTTTTTGCTGGGGTGGACTCACCTCCTGAGCTGACACCAGAACAAAACCAGAGTTCCCTTAGCAGAGAAGAAGGGGATAAGGGCTCTTGGATAGGCAGCCAGCAGAATCTGCCACAGCCAGAATATGAATATTTACTTGAAATCTCCTCTTGATAACTAATTCAGTTAACAATGACAATTTAAAAAACCACCATGAACCCATCTGGCAGACATTATTCAACTATAGACCACTGATTTGCAGCCTTGGGAATAGGATTTGGGTGT